AATGCCTGTAAGTTATTTGAAGGCCAGGAAGACACCTTGTATTCAATTCTGTCTTCTCAAGAACTAGCCTAGAGCCTTCCACAAAGGAGACGCTGAAAACTGTGGAAGGAAGGCCTGGATGAATGGGACCTTCTAGCAGAAAGCTCCCCCCCTCCCCCTGCACAGTTGCACACTGTTTGAGAGTAAGCCAACTGGGAGTCTCAGGGCTTCTAACATGCGACTGGGACCCTGGAACTTCAGGGGCTGAGAGGTGAATTTCTGGGCTGGTGAGGTCCTGCCTATAAAACAAGGGGCTCCTACACCTCCACCGTGATACTTCTTAGCCTGTGCCTTAGTGGGGGTTGGGAAGGTCTGGCATGGGTTCTGGGGGACATCCCCACAGTGGGGATTGCACCCAATGTTGTCTCACTTCCCTGGGCTCCCAGCAACACCCCCTTTTACTCCTTCCTCACCCTGGGGTCCTCATCCTGCAATAGTCAGCTCAGTCAGCTGGGTCTTTGGTTCTTCCTTTCTCTTCCTCCTGCCAGCTTAGCCTTTCTGGCCTCTCTTCTACCCTATGTTGAGGCTTGAAATTAAGTGCTCAGCCCGGCCGGGGATGGCTCAGCGGTTGAGGGTTGACCTAGGATCCAGGCGATCGGGGTTCGATTCCCGGTCAGGGCACATGCCTGGGTTGTGGGCTCGATCAATGACTCTCTCATCATTGATGTTTCTATCTCACTCTCTCCCTCTCCTTTCCTCTCTCTGAAATCAATGAAGATATATTTTAAAAAAAAATAATTTAAGTGCTCAACTGCCAATGTCCCCTCACTCCCCAGTGGTCACTGCACTCCGGCCTGCTCTCCTGCTGAATGGGAAAGGAGGAGAATGGGGCATGGAAAGGGTACTCTGAGTCAACCCATAAATCCAACCAGGTTTGCTAGTAGACAAGATTCTAGGAAGATCTGCAAAAGGTGGCTGGGAATGCCTATCAGGTTTGGGGAAGATCAGGGAAGATGGAAGAGAGCAGGCAGAGGAACCTAATCCTGGGGTAAGCCTTTAGGGACACAGCCTGGCCCCCTGAATGAGGGTTCTCTACACCCATCATCAAGCACCATCCCCAAGAGCTGGAGGTAGGAGAGATCCAGGCTCGGCCACCAGCTGGGGGTCAGTGATTACCTGAAGGTGCTATGCATAGGATTAGCCAGTAATTGGCCCTGCCCTAGCTTCCCCTAGACAAGGGGCAGGCCCACTCCCTCCCCTACCTCCCCTGCCTCCTTCAGGGTGACTTCCTTCCTCAAAGCCATGTGAGATTTTCACTATCACCTCATTTCATCTGTGTACAACTGCTGAAGAATAGGGGCAACAACCAATTGCCCCACCTTCCCAGTCTTAGTGGGGATTGAAGAAGAGAGCATGTAGTCACAGGAACTGAGTTAAAAAGAGACATTTCCTGGTGGGGATGGGTGTGAGCACTGGCTTCAGAGTCTGGAGGAACTGGGGTACCAGGGGAAGGGGCTTCCTGAGTGGGGGTTGGGGAGCATTGGATATGGTGTCTATGGGAATCTCTTCTCTGCAGTGACCTCAGAGAGCAGTCATCTTTGCCCTTTCTCTGGAAAGAAGGGCAAGGAAGGTCCTGAGTCAGTGACTGGGGTGACTAGAGAGTTTAGGACCTTGGGATGTCATCAGGTGACTGATGGGGGGGGGGGAGGCTGGGAATGGGCAGTGGGGCAGGTTTATGTAAGTGCTGGAGGTGAACATACCGGGAGAGGAGTGGAGGTGGACACAGGGCTCTCTACGTGGCTCAGGTGGGCAAAAGGCTTGGCTGCACCCCAGGATTCCAGGTAGCGGGTCATCAGCAGTGATGGACGCATCTTGGGACCCTCGAGAGAGGACAGCAGCTCTCCTGCAGTGCCCTTTTCCTCCTCCTCCTCTGCCTGGGGCATATGAGGGCTCACAGTCAGGGCTACAAACCCCCACTCTCCCCACTCCCCTCTAAGGCTGGTGTCCCCTCCCCTGCCACATGCACACCAGGACCCAGGAACTCAACCTCTGGCATAGAAGAGACCAGGCCTGTGGCTGTGGGTGGACAGGGTGGGCCAGCCTTGGATTCCAGGTTGGGCTTTTACCCGGGGGTCGATGACCAGGTATGTAGGCTCCCCTAGCTCCCGGAGGTATGGGTCCCGGTGCTCCACGGCCGCATCCTCCACGGCGTAAGCTCCTGCCAGCAGGGCCAGGGTAGCCCCTGTGATATGCACTCGTCTGGAAGGAGGGGACCGTGGGAGTTAGAAAGAGGGCCTCCAGCCTCTCGTTTCTTTCCAGGATCATTCCTGAAGGTGTGACTTCAAGCAAGGCCCTGTGCTACAGGAGGTCTCTCCCGGCTTCCCTCCCTGCACCCCAGGATCTCCCTGAGCCCCACATGGGACTGTGCTCATTTTAAGGAGCTATGAAGAGGGAGGCAGCAGGGGGAAGACCTGGTTGGCCTCTTGCTGTAGCCTCCTGGAACCCCGGGTCTCACCCTGGCACGCCACCCGCCTCCATGTGGTTGGCCAGTGTGACGTCGTGAGACCAGACATCATACTGCCACTTCTGCAGTCCGATGACCCCACAGAGCACGCTGCCCGAGTGCACACCCACGCGCATGTTGATATCCACACCGGTGGCCGCTCGTAGTTTCCTGAGCAGGATGTGGGGGGGACAATCTGAGTGCAATCTTCAGCCCTACCCGGGCCACACCCCTCCCTTTCTCCAGGAAACTTCCACTACCCTGCCTGCTCCTCTCCCACACCCATCCCTCAGCACTCCTGCCCACCCCCCTGAGCTGACCTGATGGCCCGGCACATGTCCAGCCCCATGCGCACGCAGTTGATGGCGTGGTCTGGTAGGGAGAGGGGCAGCCCGGAGACACAGTAGTAACAGTCTCCCAGGATCTTGATCCGCATGCATTCATGCTCCTGGGAGTGTGTGTGCCGGGGTGGGGAGAGGGGCACCCAGTTAGAGGCCAGTGGAGGCAGGAGGAAGTTAGGAAAAGCTGGAGCAAATGTGGTGTTCCTCAACAACCTCTGATGTTGGGAGTATCTAGGTCAGATCTAGGGATTCCCTTAACTTGATATGGGATGCCTCAGGTCTCCCATGCAGGTGTCTTTCTCAGAAGTTTCCCAAGGGTTGGGATGTCTGAGGCTCTCCCCAGCTTTGGCATGTGTAGGGTGTATTCAGATTTGAGCCTATAAAAGTAGCCTCAGAACTGAGGTTTGTTGGGTGGGAGATCCAAGATGAAGTTGCTTGGGGGCATCCTTGGGGTTTAAACAGGTGGCTGGGCCAGAGATTTCCCTGGGAAGGGCCTCCTAAGGTTAGAGCATCTCAATACTAGGTTTGGCTGTAGTGTCCAAAGACACCTATATTGGGGTCTTGAGCATATTTGGGGTGCTGTGGTTGGGGCATCTGTGGAGATGTTAAGAGGTCTCTCCGGACTTGAGGTATGTGGCGAGTGGCTCCATAACTGGGATGTTTGCAAGGGTTTCCTACTTTCAGTGGTGTATCTGGAAGCCCACATGGGCTCTGAAGTGGGAGTGGGGTCTTATAAGTTAGGAACTGCCCTTGGAACAGGTTCTCCAGAGAGGAGTGTTTGAAGCTGGGGAGAGAGGCCCCCTTTTACCTTGGCGATCTGGTCGAACTTGCCAAAGAGCTCATTGAGCATGAGCACCAACTCTTTTGGGGAGCACTCACTGGCCAGCCGTGTGAAGCCCACTATGTCAGCATACAGCACGCTGGGGAGGGCAGACTAGTCAGTGGGGCCATGGTCTCAGCCCATGCTCCCTCCCCTCCAGCCGTCCTTGCCCATACCTGACTCCCTGGTGCCTCTTGACATAGAGGCTGTGGAAGTTGTTGGTGCTCTCTGGCCTTGACCCCTGTCCAGACTGCAGCCGTGCCATGATCTCTGCCTTCATCTCTTGGGCCAAGTAGGCAGGAAGGATGGACAAGAGAAGGTGTTCCTGGGGGAGGCCACTATGAGAACCAACCCTCTTGCACCCTAAAGCCAGGAGCCCAGCTCCCCAAACCACTAGAAGCCTACACCCTTCCCCAGCCCCACTAGGTGTTCCCCTGGGCGCTGTCCCAGGTCCTCCCTGCCACAGTACCCCATCCTGCACTGATCACCTTAGGGACTGAACCCCCAGCACCAATATTGGAATTAGAGTTCGTTTAGTGTCATAAGGTCCTAAAGGGCTTTAACAAACTTCAATTTGTTTGAGCCTCCCAGCAACCTTCCAAGGAGGGCAACAGCCACTTTTGACAAAGGAGGAAATACAAGTGACAAGCCTAGTCATTCAGCTGTGAAGGAGCCTGGTTGTATGATCTAAGTAACCACTTTCTAGGAGCCCAGGTCCCTCCGGGTCCCCAGTACTGGCGAACCTGGTGCTTCTTCTCTGTGTCCAGCCGCCGGCGCGAGTGCAGGGAACTAAGTGCCTCTCGGAAGGTGGCGCGCAGTGCGCGCTCCATCAGCGCCTTGTGGTATGCTCCAGCCACATTCCCGCACAGGAATAACACCGCGTTTGCTGCCAACTGTGGGTGAGGGTCAGCCTTAGGGGGCGCTAGACCCGGGTAAGGGTGAGGGTGTCTATGTGTGTAGCTGGAGTTGCTCTCCAAAGGGGCTGGAGGAGACACTACCATTAGAGACCCAAGTATCTGGAGTCAATGAGTGCCACACAGTGGGATCCATAGATGGAGCTTCTCCCCAAACCCCCACCTTCCTCCTCCTCCAGACTCTTGGCTGCTGTTACCAACATGGCTTCTTAGGTCTAGAAACCTTTGTACATCTCCTCTGTCTGAAATACCACTCCATCACCTCCCCCCTGCCTCCCAAAACACATCACAGCACAAAACTACTCAAGCTCCAATTTTTGCATTCTCTGTGAGGGTTCTATCATCTACATCTGTCCCCACCACCCTGGTCCCCTAAATCCCTTCCTTTGGGGCGCAGACCCTCTTCTGGTATCTGCAGGCATAGCACTGCTCTGGTGTACCAGCTACACCAGGCAAAGTGCAGATCTATCTGTGTCTGTGCCCTGCTCCCAGCATTGCATCCTGCCATGGAGTCACAGCTCATCACAGGGTTGGTGAATGCCCTGATGAACCAAGTAGTGCCCAGCAGAGCTGGGCTTAAGTGCAGCCTGTTCTAATTGCATGCTTACCTGCGGCAGCAGTGCGGGTCTTGAGTCCAGTTGAGGTCCAAGATACAGCCCGAGGACCAGCAGGTGTGAGAGTGAGGAGGCAAGGCCTGCAGCGGTGGCCTCCCGCATGCCCAAGGGCAACATGGCATACGTAGTGAAGATGACAAAGAGGAAAAAGGACACCTGGGGGAGGAAAGTGGGAAGCTGCAGGCTGACACTGCTGCTCTGCTCGTTACTGGTGTCCTGGGTGCAAGTTTGAGGCCCAGGTGTCCCTCTTCCCCCTTACTCCATCTGCCTCTCCTCTCACCTGGTCCCAGGCGCTCACCACACCCCCGGTGAACAGGAAGCCATGGCCTAGTGCCAGCAGCGCTGCCCACACGAGGCCTGAGAGGGGGCGCGTCCAGCGCTGCAGTCGCTGCTCGCAGGAAGCCAGGCCCAGCAGCAGGGAGAAGCCTCCGAGCGCACACAGCACTGTGGTCAGGAAGCCCGGGTCTGAGGCCAGCTCCTGTGGGGAGGGGCATGTGTGAAGCTTGGAGAGCTCATCCAAGAAGAGAAAGAATGGGCAGCCCCTCAGTCCAGTTCTGAAAAGGGTTTCAAACCCAAGTACAAAAAGGTGCAGGGCAGCTCCACTTGCCATTCATATTAGGTTGAACCATATGAATTACTAATAATCTTTTTAATCTACAGAGCTGGCAATCTCATATGGTTCACCCTAATATCTCACTTGCATGCTGCAGAGACCACTCAGCCAGAGGCCATCTACCCAGAAGTTCTGGCTCTGGCCCTATACTGACCATCTGTGTATCTGTGATCATTCTGAGTCTCTGTTTTCTCATCTGTCAAATAGGAATCATAGCACCAGCCTGGGGCTCGGAAGCAAGTAAAAAATCCTAGCTCACAGAAGGCACTGAGAAATGAGTTTATCCAAATCTGATCAATTTGCTCCGGAGATTCCCTGCCCCAGGGCACATGGTTCCCGTTTCCTGGCCCTGCGAAGCAGTGCTTTGGCAGCAGGTGGCGCCAGAAATGTCCCTGCCTCCAGGAGCTACTTCTTGCCACCCTCCTGAGGGCGCTGAAGTCCAGCTGGTGTCTTCACCCTTTACTCCATCTCTTCGTGGACTCTGAGGTGGATCTGCAAGGACTGGTTGCTCCAGTGATTTTCCCCACCTTGCCTCCGAAGAGTGAGAAGAAAACTTGGAGCAGGATGTTTCCAGAATTGGAATTAAAGGCCTCCTTCCTCCTTCCCCCCCAAAAAATGGGTTTATTTTGGAACTAAATGAGAGCGGGATGGAGGGTGCCTTCTGGGAGTCTGTGGGTACAAACACAGCCCCTAACTGGGAAAGAAAACTGGGTTCCCACCAGGCCCAGTGTAATCCCTTCCCCCAGGGGAAATTGGAAAATCCAGTGTTGGATTTATTCTAGAACTAGTACATCAAAGAAGCTCATAAGGTCTGTCAGTACCCTGAGAGAAACTGGAAGCATCCAGGGCTCAGTTACCTCCCTGTGTAGGCCCAGAGACTGTGGCCCACAGAGGTGAAGTGACTTGTCCAGGGTCACTATAGTTCCTAGCCACGTTCAGCACTTCTTTCCTGGGTCCCAGCAAAGTAAGCGCATGGAAAAGAAGACCCCACAAGTCTCAGCACCGAAAATGCCCCTTGGGCAGCGACCCTCCCATACCCCAGAGGCCCCGCTCACCCTGCCGCTGGCCCAGGCGACAGTAAGCAGCGCCAGGAGCGCGCAGAGCACGATCACCAGGAGCAGGAGCAGGAGTGGGTACTGCTGGCTCAGGCTATAGTAGGTCTCATAGAAGAGGTCTTCGCTGGGCGGCGGCCGGGGACTGAAGAGTCGGGCCATGGTCTCCGCCGTCCTGCGCTGCACCGCGGGCAGGCAGGCCCTGGGTCTGCGGAGGGGCGTCGTCCGGTTACCGCCTGGGGCCCCAGCCAGCCCCAACTGCGCCTCTCTCTCTCTCCCACCCGGTGCAGGCCCCTTCCATCCCCGCCCCCAACCTCGCCGCAATCCGGTCGCCCTCCAGGCACGGGCTGTGGCTCCCAGTGTTCTCCCAGCTGGCGGTGAGGGCACTGCCCAGTCCTTCACTCCTCCTCCCGCAAGCCCGGCCTGCGGAGGTGCCGGAGCAGAAGCCTCACCTCCAGGAGTACAGAATTTGGGGTGGAAGAAACGGGTTCCCTCAATTCCCCAACTCACCGCCTGCGAGGCTGCTGCAGCTGAGCGTGCGAGGCGCGGGGCGGGAGTCCCCGGGGCCAGTGGCGGAGTCACAGCTCCCTGCAAAGTTAGTGGACCAGAGCCCCGGGCGACGGGCGCTTCCCTTCCGGCGCCGGAGGCCCCCCTCCCGCTTCCCCGACGAAACAGCCCGGCCCTTCCCGTGCGGGAGCGGGACTCCCGGGGCCCCCTCCCCCACTCTGATGGTCTCTCCCAAGCTCCCGCCTTCCCGCTTCAGCCCCGTCTGGGAAGGAGCGGGCGGGCTACGAGGCGGACGCGAGGGCATGGGGTGGGCCCGCCGAGGGGCCGGTGTTAAAGCGCAGGTGGGACGCTTGGGTGTGGGGAGGCTGAGAGAGGGCTGGGGTGACGGCTGGCGAGGACGCGGGGCGGACGCGGCGCCGGGCGGGGGTAGGATCTAGATGCGGATGCGGCAGGGGCTCGGTCCGCTCCCCC